CAGTTAAAAATGCAACAAATGGCACAATGATCTCCACGGGGAGCTGAGTGGTGCTGTGGGAAGGATACAGAAGGGAGGTCTGTGTAATCCAGAATGTCCCTGGCCTGTTATCCATCATCCCCAGGGTTCCACTGCCACTTCCCTGCCTGATGATGATCCTTCTCCGTGTTTCCTGCCCAGTTTCATGCCTTCAGAACTGCACTTTGGTGACTCCAGAGGTGCATTTGCTGCTCCTGGCCCTGGTGCAGGTTGGGCTCCGTGTGGGTGAGAGCTCCCTGCTCCACATGCAAGGCAGCCCAGAGTCCCCTGGGGACCATCCCACTGCTGCCTCCTCCCCATCCCTCCATGCACCACAGGACATACAGTGGGGGATCCCTGGTGTCCCCTTGGACCCCAAGGCCCCATGTGCCCATTTGGTCCCACAGACCAGCTTGGAACAGGGAGCAGAGCTGCCAAGAAGAGAGGTACAGACAGGATTTAACAGGAACACAGAATAGGTTCCCATCCCTGAGAGGGCTCAAGACTGCACTTACAGATTTCCCATTTGAGGACCTTGTCTTCATGGGTGTTTTTTACTATCTTGATCTCTGCTGGAGGAGCACAGCAGGGCATAAGCAAGCCAGGAAGATCACGTCAGGTTTTGTCTTCCTTACCTGTGTGGTAGAGGAGCTAACGATGAGCAGTGCTCTGCTTGGACTTTGAACTGACAAACAAGAAAGGATTCACTGGGAGGAGTGCCTGAGTCATTGTAGGGTGGTGCTGCCATTCTGAGAGACACCTCTGGGATGAGCCCAGGGACAAATTCCTATCAGGATGGTGTCCAGGTCCCCAGTTAAAAAAGAGCAAATGTTCAGACCAACCTAGCAAAATGATATGCAGAAATAACTGAGAAAAACTCTCAAAGCACCAGTGAGGACTCTCCCAGTGATAGTTAATAGAAGATCAAGGGAAGGAGGCTCACACAGTTCTACTTATTGTTTATGGACAGTCATTTACTAAGGGACAGGTACAACATGGTGCAGCAGCAAAAGTCCTCACAGTCAGAATCCTGAATCAGCGTCTCACCAGGGCACAACCTTCCCTTCCCAGTCCAGAAAAGCCCCAGTCTCCTTCTCAGAGATGGAGGACAGCACCTTCAGCATCCCTTGCACGCTGTCATCCACTGTCAGGGGAGGCTGTGGGGCAGAGAGAGAAACAGTTCAGTGCTCAGGGGTCTGCCCTGAAACACATCATTGCTCTGGGCAAGAAGCATTCCCAGTCAGTCATCTCCCTCCCCCCTGTGCCTCCAGGGTATCTGCCCAGGAGCTCTCACACAGCCCAGCATGAGACCCCAGCAAATTCTGCATTCCTAAAGGATGAGGCTCTCCCAGACCATGGACAAGAGATCTCTCACCTTAAATGAGCCTGTGCTCCCCATGTCCGTTTGCACCCAGCCGGGGTGGAGAGCCACGCAGAGGATGCCGTGCTCCTTGTACGCCAGGGACTGGCACCTGCTCAGCATGTTCAGAGCAGCCTGGGGGACACAGGGAGGAGACAGCAGTGGAAAGGGAAAGGGGGCTGCCAGAGGACATGTGCAGACACCACAGCTGGGGCAGGAATTGGGCAGAGGGGGCCACTTCCTGGGGTACACGATGCCCCCTCACCATCCCTGTGCGGATGCCCAGCCTAGATGAAGTCCCATGGTACCATGTCCCTCTGAGGTAGGACCCAGGGCCAGGCACAAAACTGAACTGTGATGGGTACTCAGGGACTGACAGGGGATCAGTCACAGCACAGAGAGGGGCACAGACCGAGGGGGAGGCTGGAAGGCAGCGTGATCATTCAGAGGGGAAAATGTCTGGGCTCACCCCCAGCAAAATCTGGCAGTACCTTGCTGCAGCGGTATGAGACAACTTGTCCAAAATCCCACACATACATGTCCTCAATGGAGCCTGCATAGCTGGACATGTTGATGATGGCAGCCTTGCTGCAGCTCAGCCCTGAGCCTGGGCTCCCCTGGGCAGCCTTCTTCAGCAAGGGCAGAAACGCCTGCCAGGAGACAGAGGGGACAGGAGCACACATGGACATGGCACAGGGCAGGGGAGAAGCTCTTTCCACACTGGGCAACACTGACACCGGCACTGAGGCATCCTCCCTCCTCTTTCCCAGTGCCCCAGCCTGGCTGGCTCCAGCTCCTGAGCTGCAGCCCACGGCTCCCTGAGCTTCTCATCAACTGAGAGCACATCGGGGCACCAGAGCACTGACAGGAGCCCCTTCTACTGGTCCTTCCATCCCTCTGTAATGTCCAGTTTGATGACATGGGAAGGAAGGGATCCTTCTGGAGCTGTGCTGTAGTGCTGGGGACTCACCTGGCCCATCAGCAGGGGTCCAACCGTGTTGGTGGTGTAAACCTGGATCATATTCTCTGGTGTCTCATTATCAAGGGAGTTTGGCTTTGCAATTCCAGCATTGTTGATGAGGAGGTTCAGCCCAGAGCCCCCCAAGTGTTCCCCAACCTTGGCTGCAGCTGCCTTGATGCTGGTGGGGTCGCTGACCTCTGCAGAGCCGACACAGGGAGGTCAGAGCCTGCGTCCCCACGGTGGAGTCCCCTCTGTTCCTCCGGAGGTGGCAGTGCCCGATGGCCCCGCAGGCACCGGCCCGTTGGCACAGCTCCTGCCCAGCACGGGGCTCCCGGGGTGTGCCCAGCCTGGGCACCTGCCAGAGGAACTGGGACAAAGGATCCGCACCTCGGGGCACCTACCGAGCGCGATGATGATGATGTTGGGGTGCTTGGAGGCCAAATTCTGTAACTCCTGAAAGAGAGGGCACTGTGTAGGCATGGAGAGGCTGGAGGGGCTGTGCAGAGGCTCAGCCTTTCCCAGGCAAAGCCCACATTGCTCTGGCTCCATCCCTGCACTGCCATGGACCCCATGCTTTGCTCCAGATGCCCTGAACCCAACAGATGGGGAGGACTCCATGACCAAGTACCACTGTTCCCTCCACACATCCCATGCACAACTGCCCACACAGCTGTACCAGCCCAGCTGCCCTGGGCCACAGGTGCCCAGCTGAAGCTCCAGACACTTGCACACACTATCCCTATTCCAATCTCCCCCTGACACCGAGTGCTCCCATCCCCCAGCACAGTCACTGCCTCTCAGTCTGGCCTCACCTGCGCTCTCTGTCCCTTGGGGTCCCGACAGGTCGCAAAGATCCACTGAGGTGGGTTTGGCATCCTCAGGAAATGCTGGACGAGCCCCAGGCCGAGTCCCCGGTTGGCCCCAGTCACCAGAAGGGAGCGGACGTGGAGCCCTGCCATGCTGCTTGTCCTCCTTTGCTCCAGCTCTCACTGTTTGCTCTGCTCCCTAATATTTCCTTTTAGCATTTTCCACTGGCACCCCACCCACTTAGGGTTTACACCAACCCTTGGATCCAGGAGGAGCAACTGCACCTGCCTTTCAAACTCCTGGACATTGATCCTGGCTGGGAGCCAGTCTTTGTTTCCAAAGGGCAAAAACCCTTGGTGGTTTCAGACAAATTCTGCTGTCCTTGGAAAACCTAGTGCCATAAGCCAGGAGAGGATGTTGTGGGTGAGGAGGGAAGGAGCAGCATATGGAAGGGATATGGGAAGCTCCAGGGCTCACTTGGGCTTGACACCTTCACAAGGACTTTCTGCATCAGACTCACACAAGACTGGGAACAGGCTGATCTCATCTCTCTGCCCTGGTCTCCTTGGCCAGGACATTCCTCACATGGCCACAAGCAGACACTCTCTGCCTTGGTCTGGCCTCCTCCAAGCCAATGCCCATTCCCTGATTGCCAAGTGAAACAAGGCTCCCATGGAGGGAAGCAAACCCAGAGGATTCAGTCTCCTGGCAGAAGGATGGGCACCTGCATGGCCAGCACATCACCAGCTGCTGGCCTTGCACTCCAGCAAGACACAAACTGCAGGCTTGGCACATCTTCATGCAGCATCTGTGTCCTTGCAGCAGGAATTTCTGCCACTCCTGGAGCAGGCAGCCAAGGCAGGAAAGGAGGGTCTGAGCTGCAGCAGGGCTGCTGTCATCAACATCTCCTCCAAACTGGGCTCCATCGGGCTGTGCCTCCACGTCCCAGAGGCTCCCATGTACCCGTACCGGGCCAGCAAGGTGAGGTGCCAGGGGAGGAGCTGGAGATGCTGTCCCAGGCACGGTGCCCATGGAGGGGAGGGAGCCCATGGTTCACCCCCAGCCCCAGCCACCCACCCCCTGCCTGGTTCTCCCAGGCAGAAGCACAAGGACCGGGACAGCAGCAGGCAGGACTGAGCCTTCCCAGCAGGTCATGCGGATGCTTTGTCACAGGACAAGTCCCATTTCCCACCTCCACAGACATTTTGTGGTTATGAAACGTCTCCTCTCCTGCCTGCCCACTCCCTGAGTTGTGCTGGCAGGGCTCTGCCTCTTCCAGGCTGCCCAGAACATGGGGATGATGTTCTTGGCTTTACAGCTTCAAGAAGAGAAGGACTTGGGAAGCAACTTCTCTCCCCTTCCCCTACCTTCCTTTGGTCCCCCTGTACCCCTCATCTCTGTAAACTCTGGCAGCTGATGCCTTTCTGCTCTGTCTCCACCCAGTCTCAAACCCCCTGTCCGAGCCCTGTCTGAGCCTGAGGCAGGATCCCCGTGCTCTGCCCAAGCTCTGTGTGTCCCTCTGTCCCACCTGTGACCAGGCACCCCCCAGCTGAGGGGAGAGGGCAGCTGCTCCCTGTGACCCCCAGCCCCTCAGGCAGCTCAGCCTGGGCAGGGGAAAGCCAGTCCTGCAGGGGCTCAGAAGATCTCTCTCCTCTCAGGAGAGGGGCCCTGCTCCAGCTTCTCCAGTGCCTCCTGGAGGGGAGGTCTCCAGAGGGCAGTCACAGTGCCATGGGACCTGCTGGATGCCAGGGACAGCCACGGGCTGGGGGCAGCTGTGGGCACCACCAATCCCCAGTGGAGGAGTGGGATATCTGGGAAGGGCCACCCCATGAGCTGGCACTGCACAACAGAGCCGGGGGTCTCAGCAGGAGTTTATTGAGGATGTGGGGGAGGTGGGAGCAGTGCCAAAGGTGGCTCTTGGCTGCCAGGATCCTGAAGTGGTGTCTCACCAGGGTACGACGTTCCCTTCCCAGTCCAGGAAGGCACCGGTGTCCTTCTCAGAGAGGGAGGAGAGGACCTTCAGCATCCCTTGCACACTGTCATCCACTGTCACAGGGGGCTGTGGGGCAGAGGGAGAAACAGTTCTGTGCCTGAGGCCCTGGTCCAGCACAGGCTGGAGGAACGAGGCACACCAGGGCAAAGGGGAAAGCTGAAAACACTGAACAACCAGGACAGAAGTGCCAAGCAGGGAACTGAGGGGATGGGGGCACCCAGCACCCAGGACCAGGACGGGGGGACCTACCCCAGCAGGCAGGGAAGTCATGGGCAGGGGCTCAGGACAGCAGCTCCCACCCATGTGAAGTCAGCAGAGGAGCTCTGACGGAGCTGCCCCGGTGGAATTCCTACCGTGTGTCCGGCATAGCTGCCCATGTCCGTTTGCACCCAGCCGGGGTGGAGAGCCACGCAGAGGATGCCGTGCTCCTTGTACGCCAGGGACTGGCACCTGCTCAGCATGTTCAGAGCAGCCTGGGGGACACAGTGCGGGACGGTGGTGGGAGGGGAAGGGGGGCTGCAAGGGGACCTGCAGCTGGCCAGGGCAGGGGAAGCAAAGGGGTGCCAGTACCTTGCTGCAGCGGTACGAGGGGTTTGGCATCATCTCCCAACCATAGGAAGAAGCGATGGAGCCGCCAATGCTGGACATGTTGATGATGGCAGCCTTGCTGCAGCTCAGCCCTGAGCCTGGGCTCCCCTGGGCAGCCTTCTTCAGCAAGGGCAGAAACGCCTGCCAGGAGACAGAGGGGACAGGAGCACACATGGACATGGCACTCCTTCCACACTGGACAACACTGACACCAGCACAGAGGCATCCTCCCTCCTCTTTCCCAGTGCCCCAGCCTGGCTGGCTCCAGCTCCTGAGCTGCAGCCCACGGCTCCCTGAGCTTCTCATCAACTGAGAGCACATCGGGGCACCAGAGCACTGACAGGAGCCCCTTCTACTGGTCCTTCCATCCCTCTGTAATGTCCAGTTTGATGACATGGGAAGGAAGGGATCCTTCTGGAGCTGTGCTGTAGTGCTGGGGACTCACCTGGCCCATCAGCAGGGGTCCAACCGTGTTGGTGGTGTAAACCTCCCTCATGTCCTCCAATGTTTCATCCTCAAGTGTCTTAGCCTTGAGCATTCCAGCATTGTTGATGAGGAGGTTCAGTCCAGAGCCCCCCAGGTACTCCTCAACCTTGGCTGCAGCTGCCTTGATGCTAGCAGGATTGGCAACTTCTGCAGGGCCAACACAGGGGAGCTCAGTGACCCTCTGGTGGTTTGGGGTCCCCTGTGTCCCCCAAAGGAGGTGCCCCCCCATGGCTACCTTCTGTGTGGAGCTCCCAGGGCTGTGATAAGTGCCCAGGCATTCACCAGAGGAACTGGGGCAAGAGGAAGCTTACCAAGACCGATGATGACCAGGTTGGGATGTTTGGAGGCCAAATTCTGCAGCTCCTGCAGAGAGGTCACGACATTGGTACCAACAGGCTGGAACAGCTCTGCCAAGGCTCACCCAGCAAAGTCAGCCAAAGCCTGTGTCCCTGCAGCTCTATCCCTGCACCACCAAGTGCCCAGCACTCTGCTGCAGCTGCCCTGATCCTGATACAGGGGGAACATTCCACGGCTCCTGCACTCACCACATATCCCTGCCCCCTCCACACATCCCATGCACAACTGCTCACACAGCTGTACCAGCCCAGCTGCCCTGGGACACAGGTGCCCAGCTGAAGCTCCAGACACTTGCAAACACCATCCCTATTCCAATCTCCCCCTGACACCGAGTGCTCCCATCCCCCAGCACAGTCACTGCCTCCCAGCCTGGCCTCACCCGTGCTCGCTGTCCCTTGGGGTCCCGACAGGTCGCAAAGATCCACTGAGGTGGTTTTGGCAACCTCAGGAAATGCTGGATGAGCCCCAGGCCGAGTCCCCGGTTGGCCCCAGTCACCAGAACAGAGGAGACACAAAGCTCTGCCATGCTGCTTGTCTCTTCACTCCAGCTGGCACTGTTTACCCAGCTCTCTAATATTTCCTTATAGCAGGTCACAGCTTGCACTGATGCTGGCTTCTCTCTGGGAGGAGCAACTCCTCTAGCTCTTTGAGCTCCAGGACATATGTTCTGGCTGGGGACCAATCCTAGTTACCTAACACCAAAAATCACTTGGCTTTTCCAGGCAAATATGCATTCTTTGGGTAACCTGGAGCCATAAGACAGGTCGGGCTGTTGTGGGTGAAGAGGGAGGGAGCAACATGTGGGTTGATGTGGAAAGTTCCATGGCTCAGGTGGGTTTGACACGTTCACGAGCACCCTGTGGGCTTGATGGTCTTTGCACATTGTACCAGGCTGTGCCTCAGGTGTCCCTGAGCAAACATTCTCTGCCTCGTGCCTGCCTCTTCCAAGACAATAACCTCTCCCTCATTGTGGAGCAAAAGACCTGTGGAGTGGGAGAGCAAACCCAGTGTGGTCTCCTGGCAGAAAGGAGGGGAACCTGCATGGCTGGCACAGCACCATGCTGCAGGTCATGAGCCCCATCCCTTGGGATGCAGTCCTAAGCTGAGCTGGCCCTTTGTTCAGAGCCAAAGAGGATTCAGGCACCTGGGACATTTACCTGCAAAGGAAATTCCCTGTTTAAAGCCTATTCTCCACCTCACCTGTTGCCATGAGGCACTGACTGTTCTGTGATACTGCCAGTGGAGCCCAGTGCTGTTGGGTACCTCAAGTGATGCATGACAGGTTTGCAAGGCTGGATCAGGTGCGTGTGTACATCATGTGTTCCTGCCCCACTGTAAGTGAAGACCCAACCCCAGAAACCTCTTGCAAACCCCTGTCCTCCTACATTGAGTCCCAGAGCCATTGCACAGGCTGCTGGGCAGCAATGGAGACAGCAGTGCCCACATGTCACCTTCTGCCCCAGGCTATGTTGGCAGCAGCATTAATCAGAACAGTTTCCTCCCAGTGGCAATGCCAAGTGTGTCTCCATGCTCCAGCAGCAGCTGATTTCCTCCTGCCCACTCCAGCATGGTTTCTGGGGCTCAGCTGGCAGACACTGTGAGATAAGCAGGTCCTTTCCTGCTCTGACCTGGGATCACCTGCACAGGGTGCAAACCCATTTGGGAAGGTGCACACTGGCAGCTTCTATGCGCTGAGCCGATCCTATATCTTCTCTCTGCCAAGTCTGAGCCTCTCTCTTAAGCTCCATGCAATTAACTTCTTTTCCCACTCTGTTTCCTTGGTTAATTGGATCTCTGTCTACTTTTTGAATTTTCCATATTGGGTTGAGAAACTTCTTTGCCCTTGTGAATTCCTACCACTAACCAGCAGTACAAAGCTTTGGACCTTTCAGCTTCTGTCTCAGGCTGATCTCTCACTGAGGATCTCCCACATGGCTGGACTGGCATTCAAGCTTCACAGATAATTTCAGTATTTCCTTTTCAATGACCACAGATCTCAATTATACTTGCCAACAGACACACCAGAGCTCAAATCCTTCAAATAGACTTCCATGGTTTTCTTCCTCTAGGTGAACAATGAGGCTATCACCCACAGCCAGTTTGAAACCTCCACAGTGACTTAGAAGCAGATAGCATCAGAAAACAAATAATTAATATTTTTAATCTCCTATTTGTGCTGTGTCACCTCATTCGTGTAGCCTTCCACTGTTTTGGAGCTGTAACTTTATCATGTTGACTTTGCTCTGGGGCCACACACTGCATTATTGATTATTAGACTTTAAACAAGCACTGCTTCACCAGGAGTCTAAGTCCAGCCTGGCATGAAGGGAAAGAAACCAGTCTCACTGCCTTGCAGCCCAGCCTCATCACAAGGGTTGCTGCTGTCCCCAGGCCTCTGGAAAGGATCTTGGTCCAGCTCCTAAGAGGGGATTCAGATGCTTCCTTTGCTCTGAAATGTTCTTGCATGGCCTAAATCTTCAGCTGAGCATTAAAGTCCTCAGAATTATGGAATCATTTATGTTGGAAAAGGCCTCTAATATCATTGATTTCAACAATTAGACTAACAATGCCAGTTCCACCACTAAACCACATGCCCAGGTGCCACAACCATGCATTTTTGAAACACTTCTGGGATGGTGACTCCACCACTTTCCTGGGCAGCCTGTGTACCAGTGCTTGAAAGTCCTTTCTGTGAAGAAATTTTTCCTAATATCTAATTGAAACCTCCCTTGACACAACCTGAGGCTGTTTCCTCTCATCCTGTAACTTGTTACTTGGGAACAGAGCCCGACCTCAGCTGGCTCCATCCTCATTGTCAAGGAGTTGTAGAGAGTGATAACAGTCCGGAGTCTCCTTTTCTGCAGCCTGAGCCCTCCCAGCTCCCCATCGGCTCCTCGTCATCAGCTCCTCATTAAACTTGTGCTTCAGACCTTCCCCAGCTCCATTGCTCTTTCCTGGACACACTCCAGCATCTCAATGTCTTTCTTGCTGTGAGCGGCCCAAAACTGAGCACAGGATTCAAGGTGCAGCCTCACAAACACCAAGCTCAGGGGCACGTTAGCTCTTCTCCCACGACCCCCCAGGCTGCTGCATTTTACCATGGATTGTTTTCACATCACCACACCGGGAAGACTCACAGCCAGTTTTCCAAGATGTAGTCACACCTTTTCCATCCCCAGCTCCTGGAGGCTCAAATGTGCTCTCAGTCAACCGAGGTGATTGTACAATGACAGTGCTGCTGACAGAAACATGAAGGAACATGCTTTTCTCTGCCTGCCAGGGGAACAGGGGTGTGGTACAACTAGTTTTAGTACATTTAATCTACTATAAATAACAAATAAACTCGCTGCTATTTATCAGGCTGATTTTGTCCATTTGTATTTGCTCCACAATGCATTCAGGTCTGTCATCACCTATTAGTCATTTGCTACAGAATCAATAGATAGTGGAAAGTGGAACACCCGTGGAGAGGTGGGGTGAGACCAACCCAGCACTGTAACTGAAGCTGGGCAGTACCCACCCTTCCTGATTAATTGTCTTTTGGGCTGATCTGGTGGGGGTTGGAAACCCATGGCAGGACCATTGGAACTATGACATGTGTAAGGCCTCTTCCAACAGAGCCCATTCTGTGATTCCATGATATGATTCTATGAGTAGTGACACCCCATTGTGAAAGGATGCAGAGACTGGGGTCGGGAGCCTGAGCTTACCTGCAGCTCCCAAGTGAAGTTCCCATGACACTTTTGCCATGGCTCTGCTCTTTTCCAAGCAGATTCATCCAGGTGACACCTGAATTGTATCAGAGCTGGAGAGGGATTTTGGACCAGAGCAACAGAACAAGGGGAATGGCCGCACACTGACAAGAGGGCACGGTTAGATTGGGTATTCTAGATTGGGAAGAAATTCTTCCCTGTGACAGTAGGAAGGCCCTGGGAGAGGTTACACAGAGAAACTGTGACTGCCCCATCCCTGGAAGTGTTCAAGGCCAGGTTGGGGGGACTCTGAGCAACCTGGTCTAGTGGAAAGTGTCCCTGCCCATGGCAGGGGTTGGAACAAGATGATCTTTAAGGTTCCATGCAACCCAAACCATTCTGTGTTTCTGTGACTGAGGATTTAAAATGCTCACACTGTCCATACAACCTCCCTTGGGCCACCGTGTTTTGACCTTGTGCCAGCCTGGGGCCTCACATCAGGTTCAGAGACTTTCTGGGGATATTTCCCTTGTGATAGCAGCCAAGATGTCTCAGCTACCTGGTGAAGCAGGGTTGGCAGCACGGGGACAGAACTGCTTTGCCAGGACCCGTGGGGACAGCACAGATTCTCACTGACCTTCTTTTCTCCAGTCCTCAAAGGGCAGGTGGCTGGGCTATCCTTCATGCTTCAGCATAGTGCCATGAAGAGGGACCTCAAAACCACCCAAGCAAGACAGAATTTCTTTCCAACTATTAGATTTGCTAACAGGGATGGCTGAGAACAGGCTGCCACACATGGCAGATATGCTCCATCTCAGGTACACTGAGGCACAGGCTAAATGATCAGCTTGTGACTGCCTTGGTTTGACACCCAAGTATTGACGTGAGAAAAGGAGGCACATTAAAGTTTAGGAATAGATAATGATAATGTAGATGTTAATTTAGGAATCCAGTTGAAAAGAATCATTAAGTCTTATTAAGGAAAGACATTTAAGCAGGAAAGAGTTAGTATAATATTTAAATTCAAAAGTGTTTAAAGGACTATGGAAATTTTACTCCTTGTAAAGAAGTTAAAAGCTGAGCACCATGCTACTCCAAAAATGCCATGCCAGCCTAAGTGATGTGACCCATTGCCCACACAGCTGAGCAGAAAAAATGCAGTCTGTGAACAGCAAAACCTAATATTGTTCTGTGGACAGTCTTAGAGTAAAATGGGCTGCACTGGTATTTTATCAGTAGAAATTAAAACTTAACATAGTTGTTCATTCTGGTTTCAAACCATATTTGTAAAAAGAAGGGGGAAAACAACCCAGTAACCATTTTTTATTTAATTAAGATGTTTCCTCCTCTTCTCTAGCTGCATTGTTTTTTAAATCCAGTAACTTAAAGCAGCACTTAAAATTAATTACTAGATTTGATTTTTAGCTAAGTGAACTCAAATACTTCTTTGTATTCTTAGGGAGATCTAGTGGAAAATGTCCCTGTCCATGGCAGAGGGGATGGAACTTGGTCATCTTTAAGGTTCCATTCAACCCAAAAAATTCTATGATTTATATCCTCAAATGCTCCAAAATTCACCAATGTCAGACTCGTGCTTTACCAAGCAGCACGAGTTTCCCCAATGCCTGTTGTAGTGAAACTAGAGCACTTGGATAAGCCTTGGGGCTTTTTTGTTCTATTATCATTTGTTGGTATTCTTTTTGGTTGCATTTCCCATTAGTACCTGCTGGAAACTTCCGAACACTTAACTAACAAGGTTTTCAAAGAATGGATAATCCTCTATTGCATTCATGGGCAACAGAGGCAAAAAAGCCGGAAAGTATTCATTTACTGATACTTGGAGCTGCCTTTCTGTCCCCGTTCACATTCCCGTTCAGAACAGGCTCCTCCTGCCCCCAGCTGTGGCTGCACTTTAACTGTTTGTGCACAGGAGATTGCCGAGGATCCCTGTCTCCAAGGCTTTTTCAAACAAGCACTTTTTGGGAAGAGCTCATCAATGTAATTTGCCTGCAGCATGCAGGATCTGTGTGGAACAGGTGGCCAAACCCTGGCTGGGGTTCACCCTGAGTGTTGGTACCCCTCGGTCATTATTTGCTAAACTTTGCCATAGATGGAGCAGCATTTCTGCTGAGAAGTCACTGAATTAATGGCCTGAGCACAGAAAGAGGCAGGAAAAGGAGAAGGGGACCTTTAATCCAAATATCTGCTATAAAGAAGGTTTTTTTTTTTTCCTTAGTATTTAGTAGTATAATATTTTTTTTTTAAATTCCAACTTCTGTAAAAGAAAAGTCTAAAAGCATTTTAATATCTTGAAGTAAACTGGGGAGCAGAGGCTTACATGTATTTGAACCGCCATGGAGCAGAATAGAGTTAGCTCAAATTACCTGATGCTATCACCAATTTATATAAATATTTAGTTTCTGATGTCTTTATCAGTATCAGAGATGTTTGTGTGGTGTTTGTCAAACAAGGATGAAAATAAGCAACATAAATAACAACCCTTGTATACATCAGGGTTGCTCAGTCATTACTTCACTGTTGAGATCCCAGTTGTGTGCTCACCGTAATGGGGTTTTAGTGAGTATCTGGCTGTCCATGTAACAGATAAAAATAAAACAGTAACACCCACCTCCAGGCTGGCAGCAGGGCTGGTAAATGCAGACCCCCTCCAGACACCGGTCTCCAGCTAATGCTGAGAATCTCTTTTCTGTTCTCCCTTTTCACTCCAGCCCTGTTTTCCCATCCCTAGATGCCAGCAAACCTTTTCCTTGCTTTACTCTATACCACCCCTTTGGTGCAGCTGTTTAACCAGGTACCTGATACTCACCAACAAAAATAAGGAGAAAATATCCCTCAAAACACCTGCAAGCCCAAACTGCCTAAATCACAGAATCATTTGGGTCGTAAGGAACCATAAAGACCATCTCGTTCAACCCCTCTGCCATGAGCAGGGACTCCTTCAGGTTGCTCCAAACCCTGTCCAACCTGGCCTTGAACACTTCCAGTGATGGGGAAGCCACAGCTTCTCTGGGCAACCTGTGGAAGGGCCTCACCACTCTCCCAGGGAAGAATTTCTCCCAAATACCTAATCTAACCCTGCCCTCTGTGAGTTTGAAGCTATTCCCCCATTTCCTGCCACTGCAGGCCATTGTCCAAAGTCCCTTAACAGCTCTTTGAGTCTCTTGAGGCGCTGAAGGGGCTCTAAAGGCTCCACAGGACCTTCTCATCTCCAGGCTGAACAACTACAGCTCCATCTCTGTAGGAGGAGCCTCAAGAGTATCTTCGTGGATCTATTTATCAGATTTATTGCATCTGATGGTCTGGGAAAGAGGCAAATCACGTGCATTTCTGGGCAGGCAATAAAAACAGCGTGTAAAGGGGCTGGTGCTTTGCTTTCTCACGCTAAACAGGCTTAGTTTGGGTGGGGCTTTTTTTGGGGTGTTTTTTTTTTAACTCTTATCTACAGTGTAGATTAGTGTGCTAAAGGTGCTGCAGACACCACCCCAGACCCGCTGCAAGCTTCCTCCCTCACCCACCACCCCGGGCAAGACTCCCCTCAGCCCCCGCGGTTCGCTCCGAGACCCCTCGATCCCCACTGGGGGACACCAGGGCTGGGACGCAGCTGCTGTGTTTGCACTGGGCATTAGGTGGGCAGGCACACAGACACACACAGACACACGGACACACACAGACACACGGACACAAACACGATCCGCCCCGCAGGCACTCCCCGCGGGCTCGGGGCCGGAGGCGGCGCCAGGCGGGCCGGGCCGCGGCGGCGATGGCGGCGGCGCGCACGGTGCTGCTGACCGGCTCCAACCGCGGCATCGGCCTGGAGTTGGTGAAGCAGCTGCTGGGCTCGCCGCGACCCCCGGCCTGGATCTTCGCCACCTGCCGGGACCCCGAGGGGCCGCGGGCACAGGTCAGTGCGGCCGGGGGGCGGCGGTCACACGCTCGGCCCCGTCACGGGCCCGAACAAGTCGCTGCGGGCGCGGGGCTCTGGTGCCCGCACCGCGCCCTGTCCCGTGTGGAAGTCACCTGCAGTGTCACCCCGGGGCACTTCGCGGCCGTGCTGGACGTGCCCGGACCCGCCGGGCTGGCCTCAGGGCCTGAGGCGGTGCGAGCGGCAGCGGTGCTGCCCGGGCTGGTTCCGCTGTGTCACTCCGCTCCCTGCAAAATCTGGATGTTCAGAACATGCGGTTTCCAAAAGTGATGGCCATTGGAGCTGTGGGATCGCCCTGTCCCTGCTTTCCACTTTGCTTAAATGGGACTCACACATATTGCTTGTGCAGGGAATCACAAAACTTCCCCGTTCTTCCAGCTCTCTTTACATCCAGCTTGTGTTCCTCTGCTTGCTGTGTCCCACTGAAGTACTAACAGGGAGAAACTTGCTCTCTGATAGATCCTGTCTCCAGCTGATTTGTTTGTTGCATCTTCTCGAAAGTGTGTATTATTCCATGTCAGGAGTAGTCCTGGCGCAGTGAGAACCCACCCTACTGCCAACCCGGGGGTGCCCAGCTCCTGCTGTGGCTGGTGCCCGAGCTGTCTGGGTCAAATATAGGCCAGGTCTTTTATTTTTGCCCCATTCTTCCTCCCCACAACTTGCAGGACTTGCAGGGCAGCGATGAGATCAGGGACTTTTTTCAGGGCAGGACTGGAGCCAATGTTCCTACAAGGTGGTCCTCATGGAACTCTCCCAGCCAGAGGTACTTCCCTTAGCCTTGCCCAGCTGTGTCGGGTGAGGGCAGTGTCATCAGGGTGCTGCTGAAGTCTGTGACCACAGGACACAGAGAGAAGAACCACATCACTTCTCCTGCCCTTTTGTGCCTGGACCAGGTGTTGGGCTGAGGGAAGCGCCTGCTGGGATGGTATGAGGCTGTTGAGGCAGGCAGTTGGGAAAAACAGGAGAGGAAAAATATCTGTTGGCCACCACAAACAAATTAATGGATTTTACGTGATTTCCTGTGCCCAAGGCTGATGTGGGAAGATGGGGTCTGGTGAGGGAGCCCAGAGATAACTGACAGTGAACCACGGCTGGTGCCAGCAGATCTCCTGCTCCATGTTCTTCTCAAAAGAAACCACCAATTTGTATTTCTCCTGTAGGCATGTTTGGAAGAGGTTTTTAGTTCTAGAAGCACTCCTTTTGGGCATATTAAACAAGGTGATTCAGTTTCTGGTGTCTGAAATCTGCCATAGTTTCAGAGACAGAGCACTCAGAGCACAGAGCTGCTAGGAACT